AAGTACTCATTGTAGGTCCGAGGATGTTGTTTGGCCCAGATCGTTTAGCTGTAAAGTTGCTTACTTTAGTTATTCCGTTCGTTATATACTGAGAATTGAATTAAGGTTCTATCTTGCGAGCTTGTTATATTCTGGCAAAATTATCATGCCAGCTGGTCGCTCGTCAGCATTGACTCGTGCTTGGAAATTAGCAGGGGATCCATATGCTGCTCTTGCAACCGCTGTTCAATCTGCTGGTGATCGAGCAAGTGCTGTTGAAAAGGTGCTCAATGACAACAGAAAAGTATTTACAGAGGTACGTGCTGAGATAAGGTTGAATCGCATAGGTATAATGGATGTTCGTTCAGGATGGGGCGGTAGGACTTATCACACGAATAGTGAAGGAACTTAGAGAAAAGGCAGTCCTTTCTGTAGCAAAGGTTTGTTGTTCTTCTCGGCAATAACCTTGTTGTGGCGCGCTGAATCAATGCTTTTTAGTCTTTTTCGTCTATACCACTCTCTGATTTGGCCGCTCGAGCATATCTTGACACCGACACAGCAGTCGAGATCATGGAAGTAAGCGCTAGACAATTCCGCTGTATTTTGATGTGTAATTTCATGCGCTGTTTTAGACACTCTTCAAGCGTGGAAAGCTATTAGCAGAGGTTTCCATAAGTGAGGGTATTGTTCGACTTGAAATCGTTCCAGAGAAAATAAACAACTACGATGTCGTTTCTAAACTAGAAAGGTGAGACATTATCATTTTGGCAGCTCTCTGGTCTGTCATTCATATTCTTGGGCAAATTGCATTTTGCGAGAATGATGAACGGTCACATGTTTGTTTATTTGTCGTTCAAAAATATCTTTTACATTGGCATGCCCTTTCATAGTTTTTTAGAACTGACCGTGGAATGATTAATAACTTCCTTTTTTCTTTTCTTGGTGAACACTACAGTTGTTTCCGTTGAGAGTGCAACCTGAACTTACAGCAGGGGAGGGGCTGTCAATCGAGTTGTTCCGGTTGATTCTTTCCGCAATCTTTTGCTGATGTCAACTCGTTCATTATTTCACTGTGAACTTGATTCGGATGAGCAAAGCGCTGCTTTCTTCTGATGTATCAAGTCATCATCTCCGCATTCTTGTTTGATTTCCGCCTTTGTCATCAATACATTATTGTATTTCTGATAGATCTTTTCCTTATTCTCATTCTATTTCGAACCTCTCCCATTCCATGCGCATCATTTCGCACAAGGCTATTTCAGGTTGCACTGGTAGAGTCTTGACAATTGGTAATCACCCTATTTCAAGAGGTATAAAGCGCAGTTATTTGCATTGTAGCGACAACGCGCGGCAAATGCTCCTAAACATAGCAACAGTTATTTTAGTCTTTTTTTGCATACTCTAATCCTCTATCTGCCGTTAACACGTTCCGGGCCGCGTGACACACATGGTGTGCCATATATCTTCTCTCTGCGTTGTCTCGTATGGTCTTGTTGTTCGTTTATGTTAACTACACTGGCAAAAACCTGTGTGGTTAAGACAATAGGGGTGAAGCATGAGTAGTGTACAGTAAACAAATCCGAGAATAAACAAACAAAGGGCAACAAACGAAGTCAGGATGCGAGATACTTCCCTAAGGCAGCGTTCAGACTTGTCGCGCTGCACAGCGCTGCAATCGTTGCGTGGCAATTATACATGCGGGAATGAATTGCGCGCTGCGACAATATTGTATGCAGATAAAATTTAAACAGAATATTGAACAGAACGAAAACAATTTCGTAATCGGGGATCAGCATGATGCACCACTGCAAAACGACAAACATCAATAGCTACCCTGAGACTGAATAATTAAAGTCGAAAACGGTATACAAAATCATTACCACAGGGTCCGGTATCAAAAACTTCATTTTCATTGTTGTGAAAAAGAGGAGCTAACAATCTGGTAGAAATGAGAACAGTGAGAAAGGTATCGAATACCGCAAGAAGGAACATAAAGGAGGTCTGGTACAATTGCAGCGCTGCGCAGCGCGACAAGTCTGAACGCTGCCCAACGTGGATTTGAATGAGCTAACCACAAGTCTGTAGATTGACCTCCCCACTAAAAGCAGCCTCTGGAAATCTTGATAGGTCCTATCCATAAAAAGTCTATTTGGCTCCTGAATCATATCCCAAAGTTATCAGAACACGTTTTCCGACATGCAATACCCGTATCTCATGCGAAAGCGCGATGAAATTTCCGATGAAATTATTATTTATCGATGGGAAAATTGGCGAATGATGCGGTGTCACATAATGGCGGTCTGCAGTGTGCTAAAACACTATTCGAAAAGATCACTCTCATAGATAAAACAAACAAACCTGAAAAACATCCTTGACGTTCGAGGCAAGTGCCTTGTACCCCAGAAAATGGGGTACATAAATAAGCCTTTGCCGTCATTTTTCACATTGCTCTTCGAGACCGACAGGGTAGTTGATATTTCAATTTTTAGGCTGAACGTATTACGGCAAGAGATGGAAAGAATGGATGCAGTTGCTCAGTTGCACCCTGCTCTCTTGCAAAGGTGCATGAAAACCACTGCACTATTGCCTTATTGCTTCCCAACAAACGAAGATGAAGGCCTCGGAATGAGCAGCAGTCCTTTGGAATACTAAGCATTGCTCAGTAATTGATTCAAGGTATTCTCGTTCATCTTTCAGTTTTTTATCTATTAGATATAAGAACTTCCTTTAGAGCTTCGGCATGCCTGGTCCTTAAAAGAGTACAATATCTATGAATACGCAGAAGTTCGTGGATGTAGCAGTCTTGTGATAAAGATAGACATGATGTACATTGATTTGCTGTTTGCTCTCTTGTAGATAAAATGTGCGTCCGAGAGGAACTAAAATGCGCTCATTTCTATGCATCAGTTAGCGTTGTATGTGCTATGACTTTGATTGCCGTTTCATGCGTTTACGACTAGTATAGGAAGATAGCTCTACATGTTACCATCTCTCTTTCCTAACTTTTTCGTTTGCTATTGTTTGGTGAAATATTCGGGTCTTCAAAAACTGTTTATACTAATTTTTATCAGCAATGAAAGTTTTCACATGTGTCGAGACTCTGATGGTCTATGAGGCATTCCTCACTTCATTACTGAGCATCGTTCCTTTTATATCACAGTTCTCATGCGATATTTGATTTTGGAATGTTTTGCGTTGTCTTTCAATTTTTTCGTTCTTATGTTGTAATATCTCTGCAAACAGCGCTATAAAAACCGGTTAGCAGTGAGTTCCGGTCTCTTTTATCTGTTTCCTTTCGGCGACAGTTCGTTATGCTAATGATCTCTTTTTCATCTTTTTATTGCTTCACCATTGTATATCCCATATGACGTTTTTTTTTTGCTGTATTGAATGTTCAAGTAGATCCGTCTATACTTTCTGGTAACTATTGATTTTCACTTGTTTACCAACGGTATAATGCGATGTGCCCATCACGTGGGCTTTCCGTCTTGTTGTTGTTGTTTCACTTTTGCTTTCATTTTCAAGTAGATACTATCTCCTATGCCTTACATGCTAATATCAACGCAAATTCGGCTCGAAGTGGGACCAACTTTTGTGGGAGACGGAGAAAGCGACAAAGAGCTAATGGAGCGGCTGTGGGCGAAGCCGTCACGGCAACTTGGCAACGAGTTCGTGGCGAGTTTATCCCTTTTCCATCTGTAGTATCACTAGTATCTGTATTTGGTTGCAAAAGGACGAACATTTTCCAGGAGTACGTGACATCGCTGCCCCCTCGTCAAGTACTGAATATTCTAGAAAAAGAGGGCTGGAAAGTGATCGGAATGGCCGGTATTGGCCAAACATGTGCATGGACCTTGCACAGGGACGATTGATGTTTTATTGCTCACTTGTAATCTCAGTATTCCATTTGCCTTCCTCGCATTCCATTCTCACATTAAAGATTCTAATGAACAATTTACTAACATACTCATCATCATATGATGTCTTTTTGTGGTCTAAGATTAAAGATTAAGAGACTGTACACTCACCTCCGAGGAGGTCTCCCTAGTGTGCGAGGCGAATGAGTCCGCATCTGCAGTATCGTGCCACTTTCTCCACTCAAAAGTGCACAGGGGTAGTGGTACACGAGTGCCGTCGCCATTCTTCGCCATACTGCCCTCAAGATGCAGCTCTTGTGCGGTCAGGGCCCCGCAACGAACCCGTCACAAGCGCTAGAGAACAACCAGAAGTGGGAGGGTGCAAACAAGTGGCGCGATTGACCATGGTTAGGCGCGTAGCTCGCGGTGCAACAGCGCAGATGGGGTCGGGAGTCGGTGGCCGGGTGTCTACTCTCTATCTCTGTTCCTGTGCTTTTTTTACCAACGAAAGTGGCACACTAGTGCAGTTGCACAGTCCCATTCTTCTTACACAAAGCAAGAACTAGGATCCACGGAAGTTTGCTACAGTTCGTCTTTGAGATAAGATAGGAAGATCGATGTTTT